CCGGGGGGGGGGGGTAAACCCCCCCTACCCCCCCTTCGCACATTACTGATCTAGGATATTTCTACATCTACGCTGCCTATCGGGTTTTTGGAAAATTAACAAGGGGCACTTTTTTAGTCGGTCTTTTTTCTCGATTCTCTTAATAGTTAAATATAGTTTTCATGAATTATCGAAAAAGTACCAAAAAATAGACGATGAAAACCAAAAAAAAAAAAAAAATAAACGAATCAAAGCAAAGTGTAGTGGAAATTGATAAACTTAATTATTTGTAAATTATATTAGCTGTTCCATAAATTGTATCACAGAACATATAAGACATAAAATATTTGATTTTAGGAATGATGGTACTAGTGAATTTAATCCAGCTTATTCGTTTGAATTAACAAACAATCCAACACAATGCGAAGTAGACACATTCGATCACATTCTGCAGGTCACTGCACACCACGATGCTGTTTATGCATATTATTATATGGATGATAATAATAAAGTAGGTTTCAATCTTCATTACAGCGAAGTTTAATTTGACTAATCATTTATTGTATTTTCAGGTGAAATTAACAAAAATTTTCGATCTAACCGATAGTGGGAAGCAAAACAGTGAATGTAGTGATGAACAACCGTTTGAGCCAGCAAAATCTATAACAGGTAATAACATAGCTTCAACAGTTAGATAAATAGATATCAATTTCTCGTTTTCTATGAGCAAATCAACTTCATACAATTATAAGTTATTTACCTGTGATTTATTGGCATATACAGGGTGGGGTGTCTCAAATGGGTGCCTACCTAAGGGGAGAATCACAAAAGAGAAGAATTAATTTAAAATAATCGAAAAATAATCGAAATAATCGACAAATAATCGAAATAATCGACAAATAATCGGAAACATATAATGAAAATGAAAGTTGATAATCAATGAGAAATGAAACAGAATAGAAAATAATGTGAAAATGAATTGTAAGCAGTAACTTACAAGTGTATATATCAATAAATTGAAATAAGGCGACCACATAAATAAAAAGATATCTTAAATGAAAACATTCCATTACTGAAATCGCGATAGCTAAAAAATAGCTGAAAATTTAGATTTTGTTGATGATTGTTGTAGCGGAGATCTGTGCATAGAGAAAAAAAGGAAAGTATTATAAAATTAGTAACAGAAAATTCATGTATTAATTTGGTTGATTGTGTTATTAGTTTACAAATTGCGTAGTCTCTTCTTTTGTATATAATTACCTCACATCCCGAGTTCTGATACATTTCAACCACGTTCTGTATCGTGCTTTCGGTTGATTGTTTGGCGCTTCCAATACGGTACAGCATAGGCCGCACAACATTGTCGTTCGATTCTACATCTACTACCAAACACTTACATCCACGTCGTCGATTGAAATAATGCACATAGCGATTCGTTTGTGGTGTTTCTGGATAGCCTTTGAGACCTTGCCGCATCTTTGCTCCGCCGATAACAATGAGCGTTGGTTTACCTTGGCACAATTCGTTTGTGATTTTATCCATCGCTTTTTGTTTCTTGATGAAACCACCGAATGCCAAATAAGTGTACTTGAGCGAACAGTACACTTTGATTTGTTCATTGAAAAAACGAAAATGGTGATTCGCAAAATCAACATAGTGTGGACATGTTTCGGAGATCTCTGGATACGTCATTCGGTCTGCCAACAAACGATCCTGCAACTTTGCGTCTAGCTCTTCACGCAATTCCATTTGTTTTTTCGCATTGATCAGGCGATAATATTTGCCAGCCTCCACTCGAATATTGCGCTCGACTATCTCGTCATTATCTCGATATTCCCTGGCAACACCAGCCACTGTTGGTCTTTTGCTTGGATCCAATCCGAGCAATCGTTCAAAATCTTGCGAAAGTCGTTCGATTCGATCTTCCTCGCTTTGTTTAACAATTGTTTTGATGCAGTTCAGAGACACGCGCACACCATCCGTGTAAATTAGTTGATTGAAATATTTCTTCGGTGATGTCGGTATGATTTTTTCATAATCGAAATATTTCTGCCACATTTTTCGGACTAAACTTTTGTTGGCGATGAACTCGTCACGTTTGTAATCTTTCGGTGTTTTGGTTGGTTTTCGTGGCTTGCGACCGACGGCAGTCAAAGCATCGAATAAAGATCTCGAATCGGACACAATGTGCCGGCGCTGAAACGTGGCCAATGGAACAATTTTGAATCGACTGATGTTTTCGATTCCATCTTGTTGTGCTTCATAAATAAACTTTTGCAAACGTAATAACAATGGGACATGCTGCATCCATGTTAATTGAATGTCCATGAACATGCCACATTTATTTTCAATGTTCGGCTCCAACAGCACGGAGAATGTATTAACCAAATCCGCTTCGTACTCAGCTGTACCATCAAACAGGAACCGCTACATTCACAAAACACGCCATAACATGTTTGAAAACCACAGCATTGTCCACGACAAGTGAAATGTATTATGTTGCTATGCCGGCAAAAATACACAGATGCGCATTCGATTTTGGTTAAGGCGCGCCATGCACAATACCAATACACAATTTATGTCAACGCAGTTTTCAATAACACAATACAATACATTTGAATATGCTTACCCGAATGTGATCTTTTGACGTTGCTACTGTTCTCGCAGTATTGTCCATCCGCTACGCCATATTGCCGTTGCCGCTGTGACGTTGTTCCGATGCAATAGTAAATTGTGTGTACAACATTGATTTCTTGTGATGTTCTCTCCACTGCTACTACTACCACCACTATCAAATCTCAATTTTCAGCACTATCAAATCTTTTTGCTGTCGCAACAATAAATATATGTGGTCAAACCTTGAATTCTAATGGTTTTCAATAATCTCTCACTCACTCACTGACTCACTCACCCGCCCAGATACACAGTCTCTCTTTCTATTTTACATACATTCTGTTTTCTTCATTGTCATTTGGCAATCTCATAGTATACATATTAGAATTAATGTATAATCGAAAATAATCGAAAAAGAATCAATAACAATTCTTAAATAATAGAAAGGCAATTTTTAAGTGAATATCCGATGTGGTAGTGAGTCACCAATTTGAGACACGCTGTATATAATGAAGAATTGATATTTAGTTATACAAAATGCATCAAATTGTAAATGTGATGTAATATTTTAATTATTTTTGTGATTTATTTCATAGATTGCACTTATCCACCAAAAAATAGTAAATATCATCATAGTCATGTCGCTAGCAACAACAATAATAATACAGTCAATGCAAATAACAATAATAAAACAAATCGACAATTTAGCATAAGTGAAGATGGACCAACAATTAGCGAAGATCAACTGGATAATTTAATAAATCAGTCCATCAACGAATGGCAGCAGCGTCAAAAAACGAGCGTCGACAATGAAAAACCAAATAACATTGATACAGCTAAACCAGCACCAATTATTTCATAAAAAGCATCCAAATCAATTCTTATTACCCGACGTGTTTTTCATTCTAGTTAAAAAAAAACTGATTCAAAGCGTTTTTTATATTGAAGATTCTTCTTTGATGTTTTAGATTTTTTATTTTCATTTCATGTCACAATGCAAATAGAAAGAAACCAAAGAAAAGTAAAGAAAACGAAACTTTAACATACTGAAATCAATTTTGTTCTTAAATTACGTTATAATCAAACATTTTCTTCTAAACTAATGTAAATGACAATAGATATTAACAAGTGCAAAAAAGATATTATTATTATTATTTTTGAAATCATTATATAATTTTTTTTTGAATTTAAAATATTTAATCATACTATAGAAAGTGGTGAAAATATTTAAGTGAATCTATTTTTCTATTATTAGAATATTAACTTATGATAGAAAAAATGAATAAACTCAAATCTTGTGAAAAAAACATTTTTTTTTTTGTGTCTATTCCACATGGACAACATTAAGTAATAACATATCACTTTCAATATTGTTTGAAAGCTAAAGTCGGTTCAAGTCTATAATAGACTGGCCCCCAAAACACAAAAGTTGAAATTGAATCCGAATCGAGCCTTAAAATTGAGGTACCGCCAACGAAAAATTAAAATTTCATGAAATTTTTGCAAAAAATTGATTAAAATGTGCGATTTTTTGGTTAATAATCATTTTTCATGGCAATTTCAATGCCAGATTCGGATTCAGCGCAAAAAATTACCTTAGAAATGATGGTGCATACGATTCCAAAATAATCTGCTTTATACACTTTTTTTCGTTTGAAAGTCAAAAAAACGAGCAAAATAAGGTATTTCGTAGCCGTGCAGTGGAGGGCGCGTAATGGAACTACGAGCCCATCACTTTTGGCAACACTGTTCGTAGTGTTTTGACATTTCATGAAATGTGACTTTAATGTCTGTTGATATGAACCGTGTTTGAGTTTTTGAAATTCTAATTTATTATTGTGAGTTTTTATATGTATTCTATGATAAAATAACAGTGAAAAAAATGTGTGAAAATATATGTAAGTATTGAAAATTTCAAAAAAACAAGTGCAAATTTCTTGAATTGAATTGGTAAAATTTCTTATTATTTACAAGATGCGTTTTTCTTTAAGGAGTCAGTCAAAAATATATTTCTTTTTACTACATGTGTTTGTTATGAGTATCTCTGAGCGGTTCAATGTGAGTGTGTAAATGTGTTACGGCTGGAACAAAAATGTGCTAGCGGTGGCACAAGTGTATTTACTCGACCGTAATCGACAGAACGGATAACTAACTTTCAATAATTCTGAAGAAAACTCAATAATATTTTTTTAAAATATTGAACTTAATGACGCTTAATGAAGTAATAACAAACACATGTAGTAAAAAGAAATATATTTTTGACTGACTCCTTAAAGGGCTCACTGTCATTACTCTCACGGATGACAACTTCATCCGTATCCGTCACAGATGCGGATATATATTTTATCCGTATCCGTTAAACTAAGCTTGTGAATACGGATGAATTGTATGTCCGTGGGATGTGTATCCGTGAAGAATTCTTAATACATCCGTCACTATTTCTGTATTCACGGATAAAATATTTATCCGTATCCGTGAACAATTTTTTTTATTGCTTTTATTCAACGTAAGTTTTGATGTAGTTCTAAATTTCTTTTCCGCACACTCTGCGCATTAAAGTATTATAATCAGCTCAAAATTGTGAAATGCACAAAAATCATTTTTTAACGCGTTTTGACCCTAGAGATTCAAGAACAACGGTTTTTTACCCTGCCAATGTGGGGATGTGGTACATTGTACGCATTTTTTACCTTTTTACGGATAAATGCTTATCCGTCTCAGTGCATAAAAATATTTTTATCCATATTGTAACACACTCGAGTATCCGTCCACTTAAATTTTTTTAAATGGACATGATAAATGTCCGCTCACCTGAAAAATGTCAAACGGACATCAAATATATCCGCCAACCTGGAAAATGTCAAACGGACATCAAATATATCCGCCAACCGGAAAAATGTCAAACGGACATCAAATATATCCGCCAACCGGAAAAATGTCAAATGGACATCAAATATATCCGCCTACATGAAATATGTAAAACGGAGATGGGCGAAGACAGACATGATGAATATTCGCCAACCTAAAAAATGTCAAACGGAAACCAAATATATCCGCCAACCTGTAAAATGTCAATCGGAAATCAAATATATCCGCCAACCTGGAAAATGTCAAACGGAAATCAAATATATCCGCCAACCAAAAATTTGAAACAACGATGAAACTTATAAATGAAAATATTTTAAATAAAATAAAACAATACATCAATTTTCCCAATTTGGTTTTTGTTAATTTTTCAAACGTGCATTAAATAAAAGAACTACAAAAAAATAATACAACAAAATTGACTCAGGAGGACACCTAACCTCAATATATTTCTGCTGCTGCTGCACAGCAGAACAATAAAACCACGCAATCGCATTCGTAAAAAACTTACATTTTTTAATTTAATTTCAATTTTAATTTAGTTTTATTAATAAAATAAAAACAAAAATGATGAGCCGTCATTAGGTGTAAAAAATTGTAATAAGTTATAAACTGACACGGATGATTCTGAATTAATTTTATTCCAATTTAATTTTACTCTTACAACGATGTGTTCGGCTCGAGTGTTCACAACAGAATAGGAAGAGACATATGTTCCAATATGACAGCTGAGCTACAAGTGTCACCTTCACACAACTCAGCTACATTTACCATTTCGCCACATTCATGCATCGGGCAACATTTGACAATTCCAT